CCACCCAGTTCCACGCACCAAAGACTCAGGTGTCATCCTTGTACCTCTCTCCCACCTTCTCCCAAAGGCCAAGCCATGCCCCCCGCGTGGCGAACCTCTCAAACCCATTCACCTCTCTCTGCCTCCTCCGTGTGAGGGACCCCTGTTTCTCCACTGGGCAGCTACCCGCCTCTGACGGTCCCTGGGCCCACACTGCCCTCTCCACCCAAAGCAATTCCGTGCTCCATGGTCTTTGAAGATGTGATCAGACCATATCAACTCTTAAATCCCTTCAGTGATGACAATAATGACAATAATAACGACAATGTTCTTAGTGTGGCCCATAAACTCCTGGCTGCTCTGGCCCCTGCTTCTGTCTCTGGCCACATCTTGAACCCTCCCTCCCTCTCCATACTTTCTCTGTGACCACACTGCCCCACGAGCCACCCTGTCCCTTTACACACCTGTCTCCTGTTCATCCATCAGATCTTAAACACCACTTCCTCTGAAAACCCAAGGTTCCTCTACACCAAGTGGGGCCTCTCAGTTGAGTGCAGAAACCTGAACCTTCCTTCAAAGCACCTACCACAGGGAAAAGAGACCTGAGTAGGGAAGGTGTCTCAGCAACAGCACCAAAAGCTAAACAAGGTATCAATCGGAGACTGAGTCAAAATGATGGTCAATCCAGATTTCTATTCCCAGCCAAACTACTTACCAAAATAGTGAAGGCAGTAAAAATATATAAATTCATGCAAGAACTCAACATTTTATTTTATCCTCATGTACCTCTTCTCATGAAGCAAGTGAAAGGTGTGCTTTGAACAATGAAGACGGGATGCAGGAAGCAGCAGGAGAAAGCAGGGGAGACGCAGTGGGACAGTGGGACGCAGGGCCCAAGGGGCTGCTCACTGCGGCTGGAGGAAAAAGAGGAGCAACAGAAAAGATGAAAACAGAATGGAAAAGGACTTCTGCGCCCATTCACGTGGAACTCATTGGTGGACATCGGCAGCAGGGCAATAAGGAAAATGGGGTGATACCCAGAGAATCTGCCAAACGTGAAGTTGAAGCCATCATTAATCCCTCCCCCCGCAAACATGGCAAGTGTTCTAGAAAAGAGGGAAGGCACTGGAACATGTCTGGCTCAGCAGTTAACGATATCTATAAAGTTATCATAAGGATAGCACTTTTTTAAAGTTAGCCAAAATGGTGTGGGGGCAGGGCATGTGTTTGGAGGGATGTAGGGAGTTGGTTATTATTAAGTCCCCACCTGTCTGATTTAGCACATCTGGAAAGCAAACGATAATGTAAAAAACAGATACATCAAGAAAGAGCTGCCCCAAACAATTGAAAACAGAGTCCCAGACAGATAACCACAGTCACGGCAGCACTACTCACAACGGCCAAAAGGTGGACGCGGCCCAGGTGTCTGTAGACAGAGGGGTGAATAAACAGTATGTGGCATATACTGGTAACGGAATATTACTCAGCGCTAAAAAAGGAAGGGCATCCTGCCACACGCCACCGCATGAGTCAAGCTTCAAGACATGATACTGAGTGAGATGAGCCAGTCACAAAGGGACAAATACTGTGATTCGGCTTACACGACACAGCTAGAACGGGCACATCCATGGAGACGTTGGACAGAAGAGAGACGCCTGAGGCCAGGGAGGCGGGAGTGGAGGGGGCCTGTTTGGCAGACTGGGAGCTTCTGCTTGGGGGGGTGGGGGAGGACGTGGTTGCAGGACATTGTGGACGCGCCTCACGCCCCGAACTGTGCACTTAAAAACGGATACAGTGGTTGACCAGGAATATCTGCGGATGAGTACTCTTTGAAGTTATGGTGGTAACTTCCAGGGGGAACAGCCAAGAGCTGCGGGGGCTTGCCTCAGGGGGTGACTCGGGGACCTGGGAGAGGCGTGTGCCTTTCTTTACAGTCCTGTTCATACTACTTTACTTTGAAAAATATAATGAACATTTTTAGAAGGCTTAGTGTGTGCCAGGCATTCTTTAAATGCTCCAGGTCGATGGGCAGGCATTCCCTGTATGAGGTAGGTGCCTGTAACCTACACTTTGAAAACAATGGGTTGAGGGGCGATAAGAACGGAGAGGTGGGGAGGGCTCCCGCTCAGGGCGGCTGGCTCCGCAGTCCCTGCTCCTAGTCATCCTGTTTCTCTGCCTCTCAAGTGTACGGACTGCTGTGAACAGAGCAGAAATTACTTCTCCAGTATGCTCCCCTGAATACCCTCCTATATGTACCCATACAGGGTGGGGCAGAAGTGGGGTCACAGGTGTTCGTATGGAAAACGATACAGTAATTAATAATATAAGAATAAACTCTGTGTTTTGAGTGCTCACAACAGCAAGCCTACTTCTGCCCCAGCCTGCCTATATTAGGTGCTGATGTGAGGGGTCAGACTCCCAGGATTCAGACTCCCCCAGTTTGTAGGAAGGAAAACACTCGGCACCCAGTCCATTCATAAACACCGTTAAAATCACGCTGGCACCATCACTGTGTCCATTTCATCATGGAGGCGAAGCACAGAACAGGTGACTTTTCCTTGGTCTCATACTTTTTAGCAGGGCTGCCAGTTCTGGTAGCCACCCTCCTCCACCCCAATTTTCCCTCTCACCTTCTCCAAAAGGATGCTCACCGTGATGGTACCTGAGGGATAAAACACGAGAAAAATGAGCGTTGGGAGAGTAACAGAGCTTCCATTAGAAAGAGAGGGAAATAATTTTGCATTGAGAAAACATGTTGAAATATTATGCTTTTAGTGAAAATAGTTACATCACAATTTAAAATTACATTTGCATTTGAAACAGAGTCGGTTTGCACCACCTGCTGGAATACACAGCTCTGTATAGTCAGAGGTTTCAAAATTATGGAACCATTTTTAAGAATTGAGAGATACATTTCTAGTTATCTATCAAAGACCAGTCCCTTTGACATGTTGAAAATGCCAAACGCTAACTTACTTTAGGGACGATTTTCTAGAACAGATTCTCTTTAAGAAGCCACATTTAATCATCTAGCTAAATTAACAAATTGTACAACTGCTTATAAAAATAAACTGATTACTCCAAACACATTAACCAAAGAGATAAAAATGTAAATTGGAAGCAAAACTGAAATCAATACACATTATCAGTTGCTAATTCACTATTAAAAAACGAAATTCAAGCAAACAACTGGAAAATGACAGGAAACATAAGCAAACAGGATAATAAACAGAACATAACTCAACATTAATTAAAAAAGAACTCACCCAATGAAAATTTGATAGTGTTTATATCCAAAGTAATAACCATTTTGTCGTGGCTTAATTATAGCTGAACATCAACACACAAAGTGTTCACATTTAAGTTCTTTGACATTTTTAAGGAAACCTCAACAAAAATGTTCATTTTTCATGACAAACTACTCCAAGCAATAAATTTCTGAATGTATAGTAGCAACATTTATTATGGTGTAATTGACAGATTCAGAAAAAAATTGTGTCTACTATATCTACCATTCTAGATGAAATTGCTTTAGAATAGAAGACTAAATATATTACATTTTAATTTCTTGAGACCTATTATAGCATTTCACTTATTTTATGGGCATTTCGTCTGAAAATTGATTTTATTTTTACACGTCAACTAAATTAGATGTCAACTGAATTAACTGAAGCATAAAATATGCCTCCGAGATGTATTTACAAACACACGCTACAAAATGGCGCGTGAGTAACAAGAACCTAATTCCGACTCACAAGCACCAAAGAGTTCGTGCAATGGGGGCCAGCTCATCCATGTGCCTCTTTGTTGTTTCAGGTGATTTGTGTGTGACAAGCCTGTCTGCAATGACAAATGTCATGGGCCAGGTTGCTAGAAGGTTTCTCATTCTCTTTTGAGTACACTGCTCATGTTATTTCATTCTTAGGGTTCTCGTCTGTATCGGGGAGCTTGGGTGGTCAGGAGGCAGCCTTTCCCCAGGGACCCCCCCCGCCACTTGGGGTCACCACCTCTGTGGAGATGACTGTCACTGGTAAACCTGTAGTCCCACCCTCTTCTTACAGCCCCAGCGGCATTTCCTCCTGCCTGCTGTCCCAAAGCCACCTGGAGTCCACATGCCCCAAAGCCAGCTCATGACCTACGCGCCTCCCCAACCTCACCCTCTCCCACTCATTTAACCAAGTAGCCGATAGCCACTTCCTCCTCACCCATATCCCATCCATCCTCAAGGTCCTGGCTGTTTTACTTTCTAATTCTCTCTGGAGCCTGTCTGCCCCTCTCCACCTCTTCCACTGCCCCACTGGTCCAAAGGACCATCCTGTCTAGCTTGGACCAATGCAAAAGCCTAGTTGTCCCCTCTGATCAGGGGACCCCTTGCTCAAAGCCTTCCACTGAGGATACAAAGAAATTTCTTAGCCAGGCCCAGCCTGGTGCCTGCCTGTCTCCCGGCCCCATCTCACACCCGGAGCTGCCCAGGCTTCCGCCCAGCCTCCCCAGCACCCTGCTGCGCCTCCCACACCACGCTGTCTGCTGCTACCAGGACTTTGCCCCTGCTTTTCTTTCTGCCTGGAATTCTCCTCCCCACCTTTCTGCCTGGTGACCTCCCCCTGACTCTACTTACTAGGTCAACTCCTACTCGGTTTACATTTTGTTTTGTACAGCTAAGGCTTTGCAGCTAACCTCTGGCTTGGTCATTTAACATATCTATAACCTTTAACTGGCTGTATGGATATGTTAAATAGCTGTGGCCATGCTCTGAGCCAGGAGAATAGAAGTGACTTCCACCCAAGATGTAAGGGGGTGGGGTGTCTCCTGAGTCACAGCGCCTGTGTGAGAGCTTGAAGATGATTGGCTTCACACCATGGGGCTGTGCCTGCCCAGACTCACAATGGCAGCTCAGTAAATGTAGACTATACGGGAGTCCTGGCAGGTGTAACCAATTGTGGGAGGAGTCGGAAATGGGGCTGCAAAGGAGGACTGGCGCGGGGATTTAAAGGCAGACACTGAAGCCATTGGGAGAGTACCACGCGGCTTTGCCAGAGTGGTACCTCTGCAGCTGGGGCTAGAGAATCACTGTGCAGCTTTGGCAAAGAGCACCACGTGGCTCTGGCAGAGTAGGGGATACCCGCAGCCATGTGAGGAGAGGGAACCACGGGGCTGTGGCAGCGCAGAGAGAAAGCCACTCGCTTCTGGCAGAGTGGGGACCCCTGCAGCCATGTGAAGGAAAGAACCATGCGGCTTTGCCAGAGTGGCGACCCTACCTTCCCCGCAGCTCTGGTGAAGGAAAGAAGACACTTTGCCTGGAAAAAAGGTGAAAGAACTCTTTGCCAGTGGACCATGAGAAGGTGCAACATGACTTTGGAGATCCTGCCTGGATGGCGACACAGCTGATGGTGCCAGCAACCTGAAGCACAGATGTTTGCTTCTCTTCCTGAGATACGGTACCCTGAATTAGGGCAGGGGGGAAGGAAGTGCCGTGGGTGTCTGTGGGTATCCTAGAGGACTTTGATATTTTAATGGGGACATTGGGTCACTACTTTAAGTCTGTATAGCTTTAAATAAACCTTTCCACAAATCTCTGGTGTGGAGAGACATCTTTCCTCTGGCAGCGGACAGATGAGCCCAGTAAGTGGTCCAGACAGTATTAGTATACTGTCCTTGGGTGGGGTGGGGGGGGCTGTTGTTCTGTAGCAGTTTTTGGCGTCCCTGGGTGGGCCAAATATTACCCTCCCCCTTGGACCTCTGTTCTGTAACAGTGGGACCATGCGTTTTCTTGCCTGTGTGTATTTTGCTACTGTTTGAGTTGTCTAAAATAGATGTGCTTGCATTTGTAATGAAAACCTTATGCTTTTGAAGGTTCAAGTTACTATTCTGTTTCATTTACAAAATGTGAACATTTTGTCAAAGCTCATCACCCTCGTATGGAACCAACGCTAGAAACTTTCTGTCCCTGTATTTATTTCACTGGCCAAGGCAAAACCCCCATCTTTTCAGAACATGGTGGGAAAGGGCTATAGCTCAGTTTCCGTTGCATGTGGCAGGGAGTCGCGGAGAAGCTGCCTGTATAGGTTTAAAAGCCAGCGTGTTACCTGGCGGGTAGGCCCATGGTCCGCCGGATTTGGGCAGCCCCCTGAGGTTTCTTGTACGAACCCTGCCGCCTAATTTCCATTGCGCCCATCTGGATTTCCTTTGGTTTCCTAATCGGAGGCTGGAATTCGTTTTTCATAGCCATGCTTCTAGAAATTCAGTTTTGTGTTTCATTCTTAGAAATGAGAATTGATTGGCTAGTGACTAGCCTAGAAAGAGCCCCAGGGTTCATTTCAGAGTCCAACTGCCCCCCTCACCACCCCATACCTCCCACAAGCCCCTCACAACGTGTATTTCAACACCTGGGTGACTCTGCTGTCCTCACAGGCCACGCCCACTTCCACACTTCCGCCAGTGCTTTTCCTTTACTGTCCCACCCCAAGTCTGACCCTCTGGGTCCCTCCTCACCCACATCAAGCTCCTCTGGCCCCTCCTGGCCTTGGCCTTGCACCTCCTTCCCCTTCCTGACCCTGTGTGCCGACCATCCCTGGGAACCTCCACCACGCCGGGTACTTTTCTTGTCTCAGTGATCACACTCTGCCTTTTATTAGGAGCACTTGCCACAGCCCTTGTCCTCTCCCCAGGACCAGATCACCGGCCCTTGAGGGCTGGCACCCTGACCTGCTGATCCCTGTATCCCCGCACTGCGCCTAGGACTCGGTAAGTGTCTGCTGGAGGAACTGAGTCAAGAGTGCACTGCTGGCCAACCCCATCGTCTCTCTCGGAAATGCCCAGGGTTCCCTTGAGAAGTGTGCCTTTTCGTAGCCAACCCAACGGACGGACTCCAGACAGTGACTGACGGAAGAGAAGGAAATGGCCAGAAAGGGCAAGAGGGAGGATTCAATGAACCATGATTAAGGATGAGTTACTTTCAGTGATACCGGGAGGGGGCCGAGGAGGTGAGAGCAAACTGGGTGTGTGCTCATGCTTGTCCTAGGTGGATGCTGGTGATGGGGGCAGCGGGTTTGTCTCCCTGCTCTATTTACGCACGTATCTGACATTTTTGTGGTGAAAAGATTTGAAGACAAAGGCCGAGGAGGAGGAGAAGCAGCAGGTTTGCAGACTCAGAGGAGGCTCCAGGAGAGGGGTACGAGGGCCAGGGTCAGGATAAGAGTCTCCCTCCACGGGGGGCCACCTTCGCGGCGGCAGCACCCCTGCCCTCCAAGCACCTCTCCTCCTGTGCTTCCACGCCTCCACATTCATGTCTGCGGCTCCCCAACCCATCGAGTCTGGAACATCCCAGATGGGAACAGGAGGCCCTCAGAACCGGCTCTACTTCAACTAATTGTCACATGTGCAGGAGGGCAACCCCTCGTCCACGCATGATAAGGCGCAACAGGTCTCCTGGGGCAGAAAGCCCTGGACGTTACTTAAATCACACCAAGCAGTGCCCTCTACATGCAAGGACACACCTCAGGTTGTAGGGGCCACCTGGGTAGAAGTTTCCGTACTCTGGGAGCCTTCCTGGGGCTGTGGGGGCCCGTGCAGACCACCCCCACCAGGGCTGTGCTTGGGGACACACAGGGTGCTCCCTGCAGCTGGGATTTGCCCATGGGTCGCTGTGGTCAGACAATGAGCGGCCGCCACGCACCAAGCACTGAGCTGATTTCATACACAGGTCTTTCCACGGCAGTCCCAGCACCCACACGGGGTTAGGGGTGAACAAGCCCGAGCCCCTCCCACAGAAGAGCTGAAGTTCCTCCTCCCATTCCTGGTGCCCTCTCTTTCCTACCACCAGGCAGTGGAAGGAATGATATTTGTAATGGAGATGAGGCCCCTCCTTGTGCGCGATGCTGACAGACGAGAGGAAGATTCCGGAGAGAAATGCCACAGCAGCAGATGAACACAAATGGCGCTTTTCCACTTGGTGCGTATAAAACGCCTGTTGTACCCGGATCTCAAAGGTCTCCAGGACGCAAGGCCCTGACCAGCACTCACGCAGGGTAAATGTGAAGGGAAGAAAGTCCAGGCGTTGGTCCCATGCAATGGTCTCGCCTTCTGGGTAGGAAAACAAAAGTGTGCAGATGGATAATGACATCTGTGGATTCTGGCTTCATGTCTTAAATGGGAAAAATGTAAATAAATGTGTAAAAAATTGTCATATGTGGGTAATACCCGTGGTTCATCTGGTAGTTACCATTCTGCCCAAGACTTGCCCGCGATGGATTCTGTCGCTGGGAGCCCTGTGACTGCATTACACTGAGAACATAAAATCCAGCTCTTTGATGCCCACGAGGAAGACGAGTGTTACAGAGATGTTCCGCAAAGAGGTCCCGGCAGAGGCCAGTGGAGACACTTGCTGCTTTTGCACTAAGCGATGCATTCCTTTTGTTCCCTCCACCGGAAGCCTCCTTATAAATGCTTAATCGCTAAAAGATTCATTGGAGTCTGCAAAGGCCAAGCCCTTATCTGGAAAGGCTGAGAGAACCCACAAGCAGCGCCTGACCATGGCATTGATTTGAAGGTTCATTCAGGAATTCTTTCCTTCTCACTCTTTGCCGAAGGTGCAAGCTCAGCGTGAACAATAATGCCTGGGCTCCAGCCACCAGTGAGGTGCCTGAGGAGCAGACGCCTGTGACTTTGAAACTGTTCCTAGGAGTCACAGAGGGTAATAATCAGCTCTGGGGGATAAACCTCACAAAGGCCTTAAGAACGGTTCTGCGAAAGCGATGCTCTGCAGAGACGTCACTTGCCTTGTATTCTGAAAGTCACCCGTGGGCCTTGCTTGCAAAAGAATCCAAATGCCTCTGGGTATCTAGGTAAGGAACGCCCTCCAGAGCTGCTGAAATCGTGTCCAAATAGTTTCAAGTTCTTTGCTTAGATGTTTTTAGTTTACAGAACAGCAATGAAATAACTATTGCCTACTAGTTAAATAAGGTGTCGTGTGGTCGCAGCCACGAGTGTCTTGCCAGGACACAGGTAAATTGCACATCAAGGTCGGCACTGTCCCATACTTTAAAAGTCTCCCACTCATCAGATTAGAGTGTACAAGGAAAAGATGGATCATGAACTTGGCAATTGTTCTGGGCGTAAAGAGTGGCTAGCACCCAGTTTTTGATATGACAGTGTGTCTAATGTAGTCTTCCTGAAAGCTGTGGTTTATAAACTCTTTATCACCTTTATCATGATTAGGTTAAAAGAATTCCGAGCACACAGCCCCAGTATGTATGTATGTATGTATGTATAAATGATATACTAACAGTAATGCGTAACATAAAAATAGAAAAGTAGAACATTTAAAAAGTATAAAGCAATGAATGTTTATACTTTAATTTTGACTGCAAACTAGTTCGGTTGTCACTAATATTTTTTAAAAGAAATTAAAGTGGCTGACCAGGTTTCTTCTGTTTTGGGGACTCCTGGTTGAAAACTTTGCATTTAAACTTTTGAAGTGGTTGGTTTAAGTTCAGTTTATTTTAAAACTTGTTTGTAATGCCAGCCATGGCTTAAAATATCTCAACAGATAAGTAAATTCGGAAGAATCACGTGCTCTCACAGCTCATCAAGTCACACTGCCCATTTCAATTGTATCTACAAATCATGCAAAGGTTTCAATGAAATTTGGCTAGTCCAATCCCCACCTTCTGTGAAGTCCATTGGTCTTTCTTACAAACCAATTGAATGGTGTCAAGCAATAACTCAGGCATCTAGCTAGTTGCTTTACATGTAATTTGCTTGCTCTGTGTAGGAGGAAGAGAGGTCAATTGAGGGTTGTCAGGGAACAAAATGAAGAACAGGATGTATCAGAGAGAGGGAGAACTCTGCTGGCTGCCTGGGAGCCAGGGCTGCAGACACATTTGGTGGGTAAACAAATCAGTTGGCGGCTGATGAAGAGGTCAGTCTGGTCATTCTGGGTAGGCCAACTCCCGGATCAAAGAGAACAATTGAGACGCTGGTAGGTTTTTCTGAAGCCCTGCAAGTGTGGCCGGAGGAAGCTCTCGGTCTGGGTGGTTTGTCTGCGGCACCCTTTCCTTAGCACTCCCGCCTTAGCTAAGCTGGGTCTGCACCGCTGGCCTCTTTACAATTCCTCGGCACATTTAAAACACACACTCTCCATTTGGACGATTTTAAAACACGGTTAGAAATTTCAGTTTCTCAATTTAGTGTGCAGATGTGACTTTAAAAAAGAATAAGCTACCCATCATTTTTGGCCACAAAATCACCTAACATCAGAGAGATGTTCAAATATCTATTTTCAAAAATGCCCTCTGCAGAGGCTAAAGGTTCTTTTGAATACTGATGACTTTCTCACTCATTGTTAAAACATCACTCCAACTTGAAGGAACAGACTGTCTGTTTATTTTTGTTTGTTTTTTTTGTGAAGCTCTCTACATAGCACCCCAATCACAACCAGTAATCACAGAAGAGATGAGAAAATAGGGAACTTTTTATAAAAGGAAATACAGTAGCTCATTTTCAAAGCCTGATGACTTTCGAGTGCTTGTCACCAGGTGATCCCAGTGTGGCCCGTCTGAGTTTCAAGGTCACCACCTGTCTCATTACACAACTCAGACAACAGTCTCTGTGGGGCTTCATCATCACACGTAACCATGTGGATGGCCTTTGACAGCCCATCGAAGCCACCATATACCCCTCCTGGGGGACCTCAGTCGTCCCTACCACACCTATGCTAAGCCTGACCACGTGTCTTATTGCGGACAAGTGTGTGACAGTGGTGTCGGTCACTCGTGTTAGGATCTAGTCTGAAGTTCGGCAGTCACGATCTGCCACTGGAGGTCGACGTCCTGGAGCAAGGGGGACAGGACTAGCAAAAGCACGCCCCAAATGTTGCATGGAACACCCTTACACTAATATTTGGGGCATTCCTATCCTGAACATTTTCCCCTAGTGTATCTGAAACTTCAGTGTGACAGAGCATCCTGTATCTTACCTGCAACCCAGCTGAAAGTCCCTGACACTGGGGAATCGCTTGTTTCAGCTGGTCAATATCGACCAGTTGCACTGGACCAATACCCCAGTGCACCATGGCCCAAGGAGAGCGACCTGGGTCCATGCATTTTTTTGAAGTCTCAGCAAGGCTTAATTTTGCTCTTTTCAGGTTTTCTTAAAAAAATGAAATTACAGTTTTTCCCATACCCCAAAATATTGTCTTTGGAGATATCTGTAGGTGGTCAAATACCAGTAATGTCACTGAAAGTGTACTTTCCTCGACACTACCTCAGAGATACTGATTTAGACTCTGGGGGTGGCTGCAGGTCTCCCCGCTTGTCTCTCGGTGACTCAGAGAAACTGAGTTCCACTGGCTTGTGTCTGCCATTAGCTTTTCAGAAGGCTACCTGGGAGTGCTACCTGTGAGAACTGGTTACTAGTCCTGCCTTCATACTGACTGGCTTTGGATGATATTCACGTCAATTCTCTTCTCTCTAGACTGCATTGCTCCCATCTAAAGACAGATGTGATTGGTTCAGATAATGCGGAATCTCTCCTCCAGCTCAAAACATCTAGGACCGGGAGTCAGGAGCTCAGGGCCTTTCAAGGTCCAGCGCGGAGCACACAGCAAGGCTGGGTAGGTGTGTGACACCAGGCCATGCAGCGACACCGACCGCAGGAGCCCCATCCAACAGTTTCCTGATGGGTCCCCTTTCACGTGGTGCTGTTCGGGGACTCGGAGGGCCCTAGGCACATCTGTCTGACATACTGTTTTCCTGGATAGCTTTCTAAAAAGATTTTTAATTTTGCTTTGGAACATACTGTATGCTGCGGGCTGTATCAATTTATCATTGATTGGGGTCTCTCTGAAATCATCATGCATGCTGGGAGCATTTTTGTAATAAAAGAAAGTCTAACCTACAAATTTTAGAATAGAACTGCAATACTGACTTTAATAATTAAAGACTTTGACACTGAAATATTGGGGAGATACTTTATGAAACATTTTTAGCTTTGATTTTGCAGACTGAAAAAATACTTCAGAGCCAACGACATTGACACTTAAAATGTCCCAAACGTTTTGATAAGAGTTTTAAAAGCCTGTTGGCACTAGAGGCTGCCTTGCCTAAGGGCTAAAGAGCGAGCTGTGCCCGGTGTTGGTAAAACAGGGAAGATCAGACAGGATGCTGTCCCCCAAGGGGCTCCGGGTCGGCAAGGGGAGCAGATACAAACAGGCAGTTCTTCGGTTAAGTGACAAGTGTGGGATAAAGCCACGCACAGGCTTTGGGAACAAAGAAAGGGACCCTGAGTGGGAAGGAGAGGGGGTGTTAGGACGAAATAGCAGGGGTGATACCTGAGGCCGTCTAGAGGAATGAGCCAGGGGAGGAAGGGAAAGATATTCTGGGCAGAGGAAAAGCACCAGCTTATAAGTGCTGGTGTTTTTTATAAAAACACTGACTTATAAAATAACTTGTTCCATAAGCAGAAAACTATAAGCAGTGTATTTATTTGACAAACATTTCTGAGTGGTGAGTGTCAGGCACTGGGGAGGCAGGTAAGCAGGAGAGTGCAGACTGGGGACAAGACCCAGAGTAATGGCACCCACAGTGCAGAGCAGGCCACAGATGAGGAAGCACGTCCGAGGGGTGCTGGGAGCTGGTGCAAAGGGGAGCGTGGAGGCCGGCTCTGGTACAATACAAAGATGAACATGACCCTCTTACAATGTGCAATTCTGGAAATAACAATCCAAGTTTTCCCACATCACATTTCAATCACTTACATTAGAAGCAATGACAATAACTTAAAAATAACCCCACAGCATATAAAAGTTTTTGAATGGGGAAAAGAAAAATTAGTAAGTATTCAGAGCTACAAGAATGTACTTATAAACTTTATGTATCTCAGGTGTGCCCAGTGTCTCCTGCCATCAGGGTCCACCCTCCTTCCCTACCTCAGTCTCTCCTGTCCCAGCCCTGTGAGGGGCCCCAGGAAACCCAGACCCTCTTCAAACTTCCCTCCATCAGAGAGCCCCTGAACCCCACCCTGCCCCCCATCTCCTGGGCTCCCAGGATCCCATCTGTGGCTCTTGTTGGTGCTGAGTTCCCTCTCTCCACATCGTTCTTCCCTGCTTTTTTGTGGGCTGTTCCCATCACACTGTCCCACTGAGCATCACTGGCAAGAGTTCAGGCACTTATTTCCCAGGAAGTCTGCAATCCATTTGAGAAAAGAATTACTGCTGCCTCAGGAAACCCCTTACAAAAAATTATACAATGAAACAATACAATTTAAAGATTAGTAGAAACAAAATTATATATATACATATATATGTTTAAAAGCTTAATAAAATTACATTTTACTATAAAATACAGGCATTCCTTGGAGATATGGGGATGGGGGGGGTTTGGTTCCAGACCACCATCTAAAGCAAGAATAGCAATAAAGTAAGTATTCATCTTCTTGGTAGAGGGTTTTTCCTTTAGTTTGTAAAAAAAAATGCAACACCTGTGAAGAGCAACAAAGTTAAACACAATGAGGTGTGCCTGTAATGCACAATTAGAAACAAATAGGAAAATAAAGCTTTAAAGCATACATTTTAAATCACTTCATCTTACCACTCATGTTTTTATGGACATAAACACAGTAATAGACATGTTTTTAAAGTTAGGATCGTATTATTTGCTTTTTAAAATATTATCATTCAACATCGTATCGTGTACAAGTTAAATGTTTTTTAAAAAGCAGTTAATGACTACACAAGTTAATAGTATTACATCCCAAAAGCAGACTTAACCATCCTCCTGAGGCTAGATACTTAAGTTGTGTCCACTTTTTTTACTATAACAACAATGTATTACTTACAAAAAAAAATTGGGTGCAAAATGTGAACAGAAAATTATAAACATCAAAATCAATACATGTTGAAGTATCTACAAAATGTCCTATTACATCAAATTCTTTGTTAAATACAACCCGGAAAAATGTTTTGTTCCATTTGAAAACAATTTGCCAGTTAAGCTTGTTCAGTCGCAAGGATTTCTGAATATGCACGTAGTTATCAGAACCTAATGTAATTAAGAAAGCCACATAGCTGCAAGACAAATTAATTTTTTTCAAAAAAACTTCCAATATTTTATCGCGAAGCAAATTCTTATGAAGGATGTGGCTTTATTTAACTAGGTTTGTTATCACACTGGGTGCGGAGTCCGAGGGGAGAGGGCCTACTAAGCAGCTGCGAAGCCTTGAAACCGCCCCGGCAGTTTCTCCAGCTCCCGGCTGCTCAAAGCGCCTGCGTCCTCTCCTGGGAACCTGTTAGAAACGCAGACGCTCAGGCTCATCCCAAACCTGCTGCATCGGAATCTGCCCGTGAGCTCGACCCCCAGGTGCTTCCTGGACCACCCTGGACCACCTGCAACGCCCGTGGCTAGTGCCTGGGGCTTGACACACAGCGGGCTCTCGGAAGATGCTGCGACCACAGCACCTATCAAAACACTAGGAGAGGGACCACCACCTCTGAAGCCCGGGCGCCCGCTCCTACTCTCAGGACTGCAGCCCACCCGGCCATTGTGATGCGGGGACCGGACACCAAGGCGGGGCGGGCTCGAGGTTGAATGCCCCTCACCTGGGCACGTCTTCGTGAGCCTGTCTGTAAACCGAGGACGCACTGAGGCTGGGGAGAGAAGACTGCTAACACTGCACTACATTACATAACGAACGGCAGCGTTCCCCGCCCACGCAGCGAACCCGGTGACACCAACGTGCCCGGACGCCAACTGACAGGAACTATTTGTCAACAAAGACCAGCAGTGTGCAAGGGGTGGAGCGTAAAAGTCAGACACCGCGAGAAGTGGCCTTCCTGGAGGCTCTGACGGCGCAGGCGCACTACAGCTCCCGCCCCGTCACAAAAGTGGCTGCCCTCCGGAAGCGGGCCAGGCCTCTGGCACAAAGCTCGCGAGATTTGGACGTGCCACAGTTATTTCTTCCTGTGAGAGACCGGAAGTGCGGTGCGAGGGGCGTTTCTGGGGCATCTTTGGGCGTTTCTGGCGCCTTCTTTGCTGTGCTGCCGTGTAGGTGGGCCCGGTTTCGCGTCGCGGTGTCTCGGGTCCTGCTTTGTCTCGCTTTCTCTGGACCGGGGGGTGATGGGGGACTCCAAGGAGGCCGGGGCCGAAGCTCCGCCGGCAGGGGCCACGGCTCTCGGAGGACTCAGCCTACTGTCCCCGGGAGAGGCTGAGGAACCTTCTACACAGGTGAGTCCGCGGGGCGTGACTGCAGGACTCCGGGGCTGCGGGCCTGTTCCGCTGGGGAGGGATGTCACGGTTCCCCGCGGCCTCTGCCACTTTCTCCGTGCCTCCCTGGCAGCCCCCCAAAACGGGGCTTGCGTCTATGTGCCTGGTATCCAGGCACACAGGTATCCAGGTACTTACTTGCAAGTCGTTTGTGTTAGAAGCTACTCTGGCTGCCCTGGTTACCCCCTGGGTAACCGATCGGTGATCTAGACACTTTCTTTCCTTGTCAAGGCTCGTGCGTTTAACTAGTACGTGCTTCCAAAGTGTGGCACAGCTGTCAAAGAGGGAGGGAGACGAGAGGGTTTCGGGGAGTGGGACCGGGCACACCTGAAGGATGCTAAGCGTTAGCTGGGGACTGCGTGAGAGGACGGTAGAAGAGTCGTGGACGCCGTGGACGCGACCCTTGGGTTGCGGGGAGGGGGATGCAAATGGCGGCTGGGAGGAGCCCCCAGGGCCAGCGTCGAGAGTCAGAGGATTAAGTACTAAACGTTTACTTTCTCAGACCCACTGTCTTACCCACAAACTGCTTTCTAAATGGTGTGTGGTATTGAAATTAAAATACATTTTTGATGCCGGACAGAGGTTTTACCAAACGTTGCATTTAGTTGACACGATAGTGTTGACTGTCCTTGGTTCCTGTTTGCTCCAGTTTCTGTGACTGACATTGGAAAGTTAGATCGGTTGGCCTGCTTCCCAGCTGATAACTATAACCACCTTACTCCTTGACTTATGTTTTATCTTTGAAACAGTTTTGCTAAAAAAGAGCTAATTAAATGTGACAGATTATGCTCCCATGTGTAAGTGCTATTAGTAGCATGTGACATACATCCTGGTGCAGCCTGATGTAGCGGTCCTTGTTTTCTTTCTATAAAAAGGTGGGATTCTTTTCGTTCTTAGGGGTGCTCATTAAAGTTTCATTCCTTACGCTCACCAGGGATCAGCCCTGTGTCTTGGAGGCAGCGAAGTGAAGAGCCGCGCGGTGGTGAAGTACTCTTCGGCCCCTCCTCGGACCGCGTTCGCGCGCCTCCAAGAGAAGACAGACTTGAAACTCCCACCTGCCAACTGGTTGCGAGAGAGTGCCAAGCTGGGACCGGCAGGAACTACCATTCTTGGCAACAGTAAGAAGAGCAAGCCATTTTCAAGGTGAATTTCAATCAGTGGTTTGTGTGTTGTTTTTGAAAGGTTTTCTTAGGCTCCACCGAGGAAAAAATGCCAACCAGCCACAAAGTCAGGCAGTATAGAGCTTTAGGGGGAGGTTCCCGGCTGGCAGAGTGGGGCCGAAGAAGCCGCACCCAAGCAGGGAACGTGGCGGGTTTTATTCTGGTTGGCTCTCTGCGTGGGAGCTGGGGATTGGTACCCTTTGAACAAAGAGGCAGTGTATCATTGGTGGTTCTCCTCGGCCGGATATCCGCTTTGGCAAAGCCTGTCTTTCCGTCTCCCTGGTTTGACCTCAGTAGTCTTTTCCAGGTTGTAGTTCAGCCGCCATTTTGTCCTACCCCGCCCATCCTGACAGTTTTCTTTTTTTAAGATTTTTTAAAATTTATTTTTAGAGAGGGAAACATGGACTCCTTGCCTCTTGAACCCGCCCCATACACAGGATGTGCCCTGACCAGGCATCACACCGGCCACCCTTGGTTCATGGACCAGTGCCCAGTGGAGCCACTCTGGTCAGGGCTCAGTCACTGGTGTTTTTACTGCTGCCCCAGGGCCCTGCCACTCAACTCCAGTACTTGCTGTTCTGTTTAATTTGTAGTGCTCATCAGTGTGACTTTCAGAGCCCTGTTTTTCTGCTGCTAATATGAACACAGTAATCTCCATGCTTCTCTCAAGTCTGCATCATGTTATTATCAAAGCTGAATTTTGACCCCCAGTTCAATCAGGTGTTTATTTTTAGCCAGTTTACATATCTTTGAAATGTGCAGCTACCGAGAGTTAAGGTGACACCTGAGGGAGAAAGCCACTGACATCGCCTCACTGCCCTGGGGTGGCTGGCCTGGGTTGTCTGGTCTGGGTGAGCCCAATGCAGCAGAAATCCAGCATGTTGGGTGACTTGTACCTCAACTTTGACCCTTTCTGGAAACTGTTGGTGCTGTTGGAATGAGGGAGTAGCCTGGGGTCTTACCGAGACTGAAGTGCGGGCATCCACAGTCTTGTAGGCCAGCGAGCGTGGGGCCCTCTGTTGTCCTCAGGGGTCGAACCTGCAGGGTCTCCACACAACACACAGCAAGCGCCATAAGCCCATTCATGCCTTCGGAGCCAGTGCTTTGGAAATTACCCTAGTGTCACTCAAGGTAAAAGTTATACTTGCAAAATGTTGTTGTTTGTAGCAATAGTTCTACTAGCAAAAAGTTGGAGATAGTCCATGTGTCTTCGTTTAGAACAGTGGCTTAATTATGATGTGGGAACACCACGAAATGTTAGGAGTGATTTGAATGGTAATTATATTGACTACATACATTGTGTTGAGTACTTTACATGTGGATGCCACTCAGTGCTAACAGTAACCCTTTGAGTTAGGACTGTTGACTACCTCTCACAAGGCAAAACCGAAGCCTGGGAAGGTTAAGTGCCCAGACCACCTAGTAAATTGGCAGAGCAGGCTGTGGAGTGAGGTGCTCCTGGGTCTGTGTCCCACTCCCTGCCACTTACTCACTGAAAAAGGCTGCCATCAGGTGCCCGTCAGGCCCCGAGGTCACAGACGGGCCTCTTGTGGGGTCTGGCACATCTCTTCTCCTGGCCGAATTGTGGTCGGGCGTACTTTTTTTCACATTTATTTTAAAAGAGTAGTATCATATGTTACTTGGAACACAGTCCCAAAGACTGAAATCCTGTTAAATGTTTTTCTTTCTGTTTTTCTTACCTTCTACCTAAAAAGAGTAACATCTTGAACTGATTTCGCTTGGAGATTTTTTGGGGTTTGTGGTTACACAAATGGAAGTACCATAATTGTTCATTGTTTTTAGTCTAGATGTTTCTATGAATTGCTTTTAATGATTATTAGTCTATTTTATCAAATCTAAGGTGCCATTGATTATACGTCATACAATTATTTATGTACCATGAAGAAGGAAAACCTAGTCATCTAGACTGGTGACAGGCACACTGATTTCAGAGATGTCAGAATGTGGCAAATGTGCAGCCTAGAAGGGCGAAGGACAGTGTTCTGGGATTAATTCTGCCTGCGTCATTGTACATGTGACCTTCTCGGCCTTTTTCTTCTCCATTAGCTTTGGGATGGCGTATGACTTCATCGATTCCGTGGGGAACGATGTGGATGTCGTCTCAGACTCGGAGGTGAGTGTCCTTATTGGGAAGTGTGATCGGGGCATCTGTGCGAGGCACTCATGATGTGCTCTGCTCTGTGGTCCTGAAAAACTAGTGATGAAATTAGCTATCTGCTTATCAAATGCCTTTTTGGTCATTAAAGTAAACACTCTTGAGCATGTCTCCTTTCTTCAGAGAGGAAGGAAGAACCCCCAAAACACTGGCAGTGGTAATAATACTAATGTTGATGGTCATGTTTAAAACCAGTAGTTACAAGCGATTAGAATGCTTGGGATGATTTTGTGTGTTACCAGTTGAGAATGAGAAATGCTGCTTCTAGCAAAATCAATTGCTCCTTAGTTGGTCAGTTTTATCTGATGTGATAAAATCCTAGGTCAGTGCAAGTGTGACCTCTCAGTTAACTTCCGGAGATTCTTTTGTGTAAAACTCTACCTGTGACCATCAGTTAGGTTAACACAGTATGACTTGTAAAGTGCAGGTGATTGAAGTTTTAAAGATCTGTCTTCTTTGGGTTTGTATTTAGCTCTTTGTGTAGAATATAGTCTGTGTACCCTTAGGTAAATAAGGTTTACTAGGCTTTACAACTGATTGAAGTTAAAAACGGAAAGATCCTGAATCACATGGCAAACGTCTTTCTAAACTCTATTTTCTCTTCATTTTTTGAGAACATAAAAAAGCTCCTGAAGATCCCCTACAGCAAGTCCCACGTGAGCATGGCCGTGCACCGCGTGGGCAGGACGCTGCTGCTGGACGAGCTGGACATTCAGGAGCTCTTCATGCGGTCGTCACAGGTACTGCTTTTGGTGGGAAGCCGCCTGAAAAGCATTAATAACTTAGGGGCCTTAGCAATGTGATTGTCTCGAAGAAAGGTCAAAGTGGAAGCGTAACTGAGTGCTTCAGCAGCCGAGAAATGAGAAGTTTCCCTGCTAATACAAAAAGCTTTGGTAAAAAATAGGAATGAGAATTGGCAAGAAACTTATTGATACCAACAGCTAGGATTCTTGCAAGGGAAATGGAGACGCCAATGAAGAAAGGAGGAAAATTCAGAAATTAAAGGGACTAGTTTAAATTTTTGAAAAGCCCTGTGATGTCTCCATTGAGGAGATTCTCAAGAACCAGGACTGCCAGGAGACATGAGGAATGTTATGATTCCCATAAATCCATGGTTATTAGAATTAACGGGTTTTCTTTTTTTTTTTATTTTTAACTTTTTTATTGATTATGCCAT